GGTAAATATAGTATATTTATTTAAATTAATTAATCATTAGAACAAAATATACAATTTTTGGGTTAGCACTTAAGCATACATTTAGATAGTGTGTGCACTTATAGAGGGTGCACTAAGAGAGGTCTGACTGTATCATTATTACTAGAAACACTTAAGTTCAATTAATTATAACTTACACTTGTTATATTTTTTGGTACTGCTCACTTCACTGACAATTATTTTATCAAAAATTTACTTAGCCAACATATTACTTGGTATGTGTTAGCTAAGTAAGCTATTGGTAAAATGATTGTTGATGAAGTAAAGCAGATTCATATTTTTTAGAAGTTGTGCATGAATTATTAAAACAAAAAGAATCATCAGATCTATATATTCGTTTAGTTAGTAAGTAATTAACATTAAGCTAAATTATTTAAATTATAACTAATCAAATTGTTTAATTTAGGGTTTCTTGATAGTGGTCAATATCTTGTTTTATGCGCCTAAAAGAAACAAACAAAATTGCTTTCTCAATCATTATATGTTAAGATTGATATGGCGTTCAAAAGAATTTACGGTGCTACAAATGAGTGTGAAATTTGTGCATACGTTCATCATTATCAAAAAGGTAAAATTACTATTATTACGTATTAAATTAATAAATAATATAGTATATTTTAATTATACATATATATGTTTTTATAGCGCTAGTTTTTGCACGAGTTTTTACAAATTTTCAATCAGCTAAAGCATATCAATATTTATTCGAGGATTTGTTTGATACTGTTAAAAATGATACGCACAAGCTATTTGAATTTCAGCACATTCATGGTCATGGATTAGGCTGTATAATTGCGGATGAACATCAAGGACAAGCACTTGGTAAATACTGCAAATCGCACTATTTACAAAATATTAATTTTGTCTGTGCGATATCCGCATGTCTGTTCAAAAGAAAATATGTATAAAATTTTGTTTTTGTGTGCTGTGCACAGTCTGTATAGTGAAAAAATAATTACAAAATGTTGATATATGTGTTATATTTATAATTTATTTATTTTT